GCATTGGGGTCACCAAAACCGTATTGGGGTCACCAAAATGGGGTAGGGGGTCACCAAAACCGTATTGGGGTCACCAAAACTGCATTGGGGTCACCAAAACCACACTGGGGTCACCAATAGAAAATGGGGGTCTCCAGCGGGGGATTGGGGTCAAGGGTGTGGGTCGAGGGCACAGACCTGTGGTTGGGGGCCCCGAAGTGGGACTGGGGTCACCAGCTCGGGGTCAGGGGCATGGAAATGGGGTTGGGGGCATCCCCTGAGGGTGGCATCACTACGAGGCTGGGGACACCACGGGGAGGCTGGGGGCATCGGCAAAGGGTCAGGGGCACCAACACCACTTTGGGGTCCAGGGCACCATTGCAGGGTTGGGGTCACCAAAACAATATTGGGGTCCCCAGCACAGGGTTGGGGTCCACAACATGGGGCTAAGGACATCATTGCAGGGTTGGGGTCACCAAGAGGGGGTCCAGGGCTTTGCCATGGGGTTGGGGACATCAAGGCCATCAGCAGGACACGGGCACCAAGGTGAGGTGAGGGCTGCCCCCCAAGCCCCCCAAGCCCCCCAGAGCCCCCCAAGTCCCCCAGAGCCCCCCAGAGCCCCCAGCCCTCCCAGGAAGCCGCCGAGCTGGAGAAAAGGCTTTTTAATGCGCGGTGGGCGGTGGGGAGGAGCAGCGGGGCCCGGGCAGGAGCGGGGCACCCCAGCCTGGGCACGGGGGCCCCGCGGGGCGGGGAGGGGGCTTAGAAGCATTTTCGGTGGACGATGGAGGGCCCGGCCTCGTCGTACTCGGGTTTGCTGATCCACATCTGCTGGAAGGTGGAGAGCGAGGCCAGGATGGAGCCGCCGATCCACACCGAGTACTTGCGCTCCGGCGGGGCGATGATCTGCGGGGGAGACAGCGGCCGCGGGGTCACCCCATGGCGACCCCACGGTCACCCCACGGTCACCCCACGGCCACCCCACGGCCACCCCATGGCCACCCCACGGTCACCCCATGGCGACCCCACGGCCACCCCACGG